AGTTAACAAACAACAAAATTCGAATACTTTTTGAGTAGAAGGTAAATGCAACAATTCCGAATATGTATTTAAACTCTACCTTCCATACAGTCACCCATCTTTTTTATGTTCTAATGCAATCTAATTTTAATGCAATGCAATTGATTTTTGGCTACGTCCCATAGAAATAATTAAATTTCTACACCTTGACCCAGGTTACTTTTAATAATAATCCTACTCAACCATAATCTTTCTTTACACTTCCTCTACCCAATATATATGTATGGTTTTGTAATTGTAATTTCTTTCATGTTATCTGCCTTATAGTTCTCCACGGGTAACTACAACAATAATAATATAATAGACTAATGCTCTCAAATAGATATTTTTAAATGCATATCCCTATTTCTATTGCCAGATTCGAATTTTATTATAAATTCATTATTCTAAATTACTAATTTAAAAAAAAACATATATTTATATTGTCAATGAACTATTATTCACCGATTCAATATATAAACTATTACCAAGCCAATACGTATATAACATATAAACTGGATTATATATTACAAATGCTTTTATTTTAAAGAAATCTTTAACTTTAATGAGGAGCGGAAAAATTAAATGTTTTCACTGTTTCTCTATGTATATAAGAAAAAGTATTACTCAGAGATATTACTTACTCAACCATAGTCATAATACTTGAACGATAAGAGGCGGCGAATATGTAATAACATAAAAGGGGTGCCGACAGTAAAGACTTATAAGCAATTTCAGGCATTAAAATGTGATTTAAAGTATTTAAAATTCTATATATATTAAAATATATTCACCATTGAAATTTACAACAGACAAGTATGCATTTTGATACTTTTTAAAATTAACAACTGTGAAGCTCTTAAAAGCGATGAACATTGTTCCGAAATGTCATGAAATTGGATTAAATTTATGTGAAGGCATGGCAAGCAGTACAATTAAAATTAAAAGAGGATTTATAATTGAATAAATAAATAAAATACCAAATATGAATTTAAGTTAATTTAAGTATATGAAATTAATTATTGTACAAATTAAAATTTGTAGAAGGAGAATTTAGCATTGAGAGGATTTATTAGGAGTCATTGGATATAAAACGAGGCTACAAGCAAAGTGATTGGTCAAGTAAAGAACTGAACCATACTGAAATTGATAATAAAATTTCTTTCTGAAACTATTCTATAAAATTAATTAATAAATTATGTATTTAGTAATTACATAATATTACATATGTACAAAACAGTAATGTAAAGTTAACACTTATAATATCAAACTACTACTTAGT